GCGCCTGCGGCAAGATGGGTGCAGGTCAGGCGGGCTGGGCTCCCCACAGGCCGGCTGGCAGCCAGCTCCGTCCAGGTCCCTCCCCGCACACGGGACATCACACCCACCTCCCATGACAACCGTGGGTGGGCAGCATCGTGGGTCCCCAGAAGGCCACCACAGGTGGGTTTCGACAGGTGGTGGGAGGTCAGGGGCAGCTGGGGAGGAGGCAGCGAGGGCTGTGAGACCCCCGGCATCCCTTGGGCATGCCCTTGCCGCCCTCACGTGCTCCTCCCGGGGGAAGAGTCCTCCCGGCCACCAGGACACGCTCTCCTGGCCCCTCTCATGATGCAACACCTCGCCGGAGCTTCCTGGCCTCCCTCGCACACCCCTAGACTGACAGCACCTGACCACGAGCACCCCCAGGCCACGAGCGCCCCCAGGCTTGCTGCTCGCACGGAGCGAGGCCTGAGCTGCTGTGCAGGAGCCTGTCTGAGGGGTCTCCCTGCTCACCAGGCATGCGGTCCTGCCCGGCGTGTGGCAAGAGGAGCCTGCGTGGCCCAGCAGCCTGCAGCACGCTCACCATCCCTTGAGCCCCCGCGTCCTGACACTGAGGCAGGGAACGTCCAGTGGGAACGAGTCTAAGCTGGGAGGAAGAAGGGGCCTGAAGGGGCCAGTCTTCCAGGCAGTGGCTTGGTCTTGAGGCCACTCGTCAGGGTGGCTGTGCAGTGGGCTTGTGGGGACCCTGCATGTCCCAGAGGAAGGTCCAGCCCTGTCTGCTCTTTGAGGACCTCCATCCCTTGAGACCCCCTGCCCCGTGACCCTGTCTTTGCACCCCAGGCAGGGTGCACCTCACTGTTCACACCAACAGCTTGCGGAGGGCAGGGCCTATGGCTGCACCCATCAGCCTGATGGGGGTGCTGGGTCACCGAGGGTGGCCAGCAGGTGCTCCACGCCCATATGGCTGACCCCCACGAAGCCTGGATCGCCAGGCCCTGCAGAGCTTCCCGCTGGTCGCAACACTGGCCTGCGGCACACACTGCGCGAGAGGTGTGGCACGATGTTGGACACACTGGAGAAGCCGGAGCTCACGCCTGGGTGTCCTGGCTCCGCCCTGAGCCTGCACCTCAGCCGGCTCCGCCCTGGGCCTGAACCTTTGCCGGCTCTGCCCTGGGCCCACGCCTCTGCCAGCTCTGCCCTGGGCCCATGCCTCGGCCGGCTCTGCCCTGGGCCTGTACCTTTGCCGGCTCTACCCTGGGCCTGCGCCTCGACCGGCTCTGCCCTGGGCCCTCTCTCTGGGACAGGTAGGACGCCGAGGCAACGGCTCTCCATCCTGCCAGTCCTTCCAGCAAACCCTGCACCCATGCTGCTCCTGGGGACCCCAACACAGTCGCAGAATGTGGGTGCTCAGACCACAGGGGATTTAAGAAGCCAGGGGAAAAGCTCTCAGGTGTCACAGACTGTGTCTGTCTGTGACAGCACATCGGAGCACGCAGCCCGGGCCAGGCCGTGACCCAGCACAGACGCCCGGCACCCTGCCGACAGGACCACCACCTTGCCTGGGTGGGCACCGCTGCCTCAGAAGAACGAGCCCCCCAACCACAGCGAGGGCCTCACTGGGCGACACGTACCTGATGAGGGGCTTGAAGATGGTCCACAGGACTTTGACGAAGCTGGTGGGGTGCACCACGTACAGGGCCTTCAGGTTCTTCCTGTACCTGGAGGGGGCGGGAGAGCATTCAGGCCGCCAGCTCGGAGCACACCTAACCTGAGAAACTGCACAGGTTGCTTCAGCCTCTCCCAGAATGTTCCGTTCCAACACGGCCCATGGAAGGGGCTCAAACCGAGGACGTCCAGACCCCAGCCCACCTCAACGCCATGTGTTTACAGGGCCTGTCTTGTGCCAGGAGGGGTGTGGGTACAGGGTGGAGCCGGGAGTGGAGGCCAGGCTGGGCGACCACGCTGTGGAGAAGAGTCACAGCTGCAGGGCGGGTGTGGGGAGAAGGGCCTGTGTTGGGGACGGAGTAGGTCTCAGCGTGAACCAGTGAGTCCCTGTGCACATCCGCACATGGGAACAGAAACCCTGACGTTGATGAGTGCACGTGTGTGAGAGCGGGTGCATGTGTGCATGTGCATGTGTACACACATACCCTGAGTCAGTCCACTGAGCGCACCTGGGGGCCATGACACCCCAGGGCAATGAGCACACTGTGCCAAGATCGTGGTCTCTGAGCGGTGTTCTCCCCAGGGGGACGAGGGCCCCAGGGAGTCCTGAGCTGGGGTGGGAGCGACAGACAGCAGGGGAGCTGGCACGGCTCTCTGTGCGAGAGGAGGAAGCGCTCGGGAGGGACGGGCACCTCCACAGGGCCCGGGAGCCAGCCGAAAGGGGCAGCCACTCGAGCACGCTCGGAGCAGTGAGCAGTGCCAGGGAGAGCGATGGAGTAGAGGCTCGGGGTAAAGTAGGGTGCCGTGTCCACGTTACTAACAGGCGAGGAGGCGAGGAGGCCACTCCGAGGGAGACACACCGGCTGAGACTGCAAAGTGCTGCTGGCAGCCGCGCCATAATTAAGCCAGAAACGCCCATGGAGGCTGAAACGCACGTGTGACATTTCAGCGAGGGCCAGGGTATCTAGCATCTCCCCAGGGAAACAAATGATTTTGTAAAAGGCTCTGGATGCAGGAGCGGGGAGGGCACCGTGACTTTCAGGTTGTCAGGAGCCCAAGCACCTGCCACCAAGTCCTCCTGAGAGGGCAGTGGCTCTGCTGTCACCCGCAGCAGGAGCTCGGGCCGGGCACCCGGGGGGTCGGGAGTCCCTGTGTGTGAACTAGCTCGCCCTCGAGAGGGGAGACCTGCAGAGCAGTCTGGAGGGGAGCCAACGCACAGAGAACAGGGGACGCGGGGAACCTCCCATGGGGCAGCGAGGCCAGACCGCTGCGTAATGTCACCTACTTGAATCTGGGGCCCTGCTAGTCCCCTCTGGCCCAGGTTAAGTGACAACTGACCGGGAAGTCACCACCTCAGGCCCTCCTTCTGGACATCTTCGCTCACCGAGGCCCTCCCGTGGGGGCGCCCCGAGTGCCGACAACACGGCCAAGCCGGGCAGGCTGGGTCTGTGCTCAGCAGGTGACAAAGGCTCTGCTTGTCCTCGCTGTTCACAGTCACCACTGGGAACATGGACTCCAGCTCCCCGGCCAGACTAGGCACCGACCATGGCTCTTGTGCGTGGGCTGTCAGGAGTCCGGTGGCTTCCCGCTAACGGAAGACCCGCTTCGGGACTGAGCCTCCACAGCCATCCCTACACATCTGTCTGTGAGGAAGGGTCCTCACCCAGCTTCGAGAGGGCTTGGAGGCGGCAGGTCCGGAGGAATCAGGCGCCTTGGCTGCAAGTGCCATGGACACATGGCGGTACAGACATGGCTCAGGACAAGACCTGCTGCCTCTGGGCCTTGCCAAGAGGTGAGGAGCTGGGGTGGGAGAGGAGGCAGGCCTGGGGTGAGGTCCCGTCCTGCCGCACACCAGCCCAGTGACCTTGGGCAACTTATTTGCTCCTGGGACCTCCGTGTTCTTGTCTGTGGACGGGCTGCCCACCTCCCCAGCACCAGGGCCCGGGTGCCCTTTCAGCCACCAGCAGGGGACTCAGGAGGAGTGGTCCTGTGCTCCTGCTTTGCCCACGGTGCGCTGGGAGGACAGTGGGGCGTGACGGCCAAATCCGGCCCGCCGCGGCCTGTTCTGTACGGCCTGTGGCCTACGAGGGACTTCTATGCTACTAAATGGCTGGAAAAATGAAATGGACATATTTCACGACAGGGAACATGGCAGGAAAGCGACATGTTGGCATCTATAATAAAGCTGTACCCGAAGGTCTGGCCCTTCACGCACAGAGGGCTGGCCCTGCTCTAGAGGGGGCGCTGACAGAGGCCCTGGCTCCGAAGGGGAAAGACCCCTCCAGCACCTGCTCACTCGCCAGGGCCCCTCCCCCACTGCATAGCCGGTGACCCCTCGGGTCCCCAGTGGCACCTCCTGCACACCCAGCCCACAGTGTCGCGTGTCCGCCACATCCCCAAAGGCTCGCGCACGCACTTCCTGTCAAACTCCTTGTACGCGCTCTGGAGCCAGCTCACGGCTGGCTTGTTGGGGCTGGTGAGCCCGTGGTGGAAGTAGACGAGGGTGTAGCCGTAGCCGTCCTCCATGCACTGGTCCAGAGTGAACTTCAGGTACCTGCGGCGAGACCCAGGCTCGGTCAGAAAGTCGTCCTCTTATGACCGAAACCCTGTGACAGAAGCTGTGGTCACCCTGGAGGGGACAGCACTAGGCCAAGCGAGGCCCAGAGGGGCCACATGGAGACCCCCCTTCTGTCAAGGTGACCTCACAGACAGGACCCAGATCCAAGAGCCCCTGGTGGGACATGGAGAGCTCCCGGCCATGGGTAAAGACGGCCACTCTGTACTCTCTACTGGCTCTCTTTGAAAAAGGGGGCATTGGGGCCAGCCAAGTGGCAAGTGGTTAAAGCAGCTGGATCTGACATGCACTGCAAGGTTCGAGTCCCACACCCGGTAGCTTGAAACTCACAGTAGGCATTTCTGCGTGTGTGCCCAAAATCCCAAGAGGAGAATGGAGGAGCGATTGTGGCATGGCCATCTCCCCTAGGAGGGTGATGTCCCACTTTTTATCTCTATCTGGTAAGCACATGTACCCTACAGCAAAAATTTTAAAGAAAGAAAAAAGAAAGAAAGGGAACATGGGGCCGTGTCTTTGTGCGGCTGCGTATCTACCCGAGGCTTCCCGGCAGGTGCAGGCACCCCCCCTGGCCCGATGCCACGCCGCCCTGCACCTAGCTCCTCTGGGTGTCTGAGGGCATCTCAGGGTGTCTTTGATGAGATTCCTGGTGGGCTTCAAAGACGTGGGCTCGTTTCCTCACCCATCGAAACGGTCTGGCCACGGGAAAGCCCTCGTTTGGGAAGGGAAGGGGAGGACGAGGTACGTGGTGTTCCTGTTTTCATGGAGGCTGCCAGGAAGGCCAAGCCCGAGGGCCCAGCGCGAGGGCAGATGAGCGCCAGGTGGGTGGCAGCCCCTTGTCTGGGAGCCCTCGTGCAGTGAGCCACCCGTACAGCTGTTCACGGAATGGAGGAGCGATTGTGGCATGGCCATCTCCCCTAGGAGGGTGATGTCCCACTTTTTATCTCTATCTGGTAAGCACATGTACCCTACAGCAAAAATTTTAAAGAAAGAAAAAAGAAAGAAAGGGAACATGGGGCCGTGTCTTTGTGCGGCTGCGTATCTACCCGAGGCTTCCCGGCAGGTGCAGGCACCCCCCCTGGCCCGATGCCACGCCGCCCTGCACCTAGCTCCTCTGGGTGTCTGAGGGCATCTCAGGGTGTCTTTGATGAGATTCCTGGTGGGCTTCAAAGACGTGGGCTCGTTTCCTCACCCATCGAAACGGTCTGGCCACGGGAAAGCCCTCGTTTGGGAAGGGAAGGGGAGGACGAGGTACGTGGTGTTCCTGTTTTCATGGAGGCTGCCAGGAAGGCCAAGCCCGAGGGCCCAGCGCGAGGGCAGATGAGCGCCAGGTGGGTGGCAGCCCCTTGTCTGGGAGCCCTCGTGCAGTGAGCCACCCGTACAGCTGTTCACGGGGCCGCACTCCTGCTGCCCCGTGGAAAGGACGGTATCTTGGAGGGGCGCCTGAAAGCCCAGGGAATGGCTGGTTGTTGTCAGATGTGCTTTTCCCAACTGCGCTGAGTCACCTGTTAAGCAGTCACACCCCCACCCCGACCACCCCACCCCTGCCGAAGCCCTTGGCCACCACCAGCCTGCCTTCTGCCTGAGTACCTCTTCTTGACAAAAGCAACAGACCTGGGGCTGGCTCGTGGCCGGCAGGGTGCCCTCGGTGAGAGCCGGCCCACAACTCACGGGCTGTCCCCTGCCCTGAATGAGTGATCTGACAGGGAGCATCTACTCGGAGGACCTGGGAAAGGCTCCTCAGGACCTGACATCTCGGTCCCCCCGTGCCCTGTGAACACCAAGAGCAGGCTGCAGGTGGCCATCAGCTTCCTCGTCAAGGTGTCGCCCGGGTGATACTGGGCAGGCAGGACGTGCATGGATGCGTGTGCCCACTCCTTGGCCACTGCCGCATCCTGCCACTTCTGTCTCAGGCTCCGTCTCTGGTTGGACTCCCTGCTCTGAACCATGGGGATGGTGCCTCAGTTCACAGAGGGACACAGCCACTCTGTCCTTGTCTCACACACCAGGTGCCAACAAACGCTCGGAGAGCCAGGATGGATGGGGGTGGCAGGCCTGTGGCTCCTGTCCCGGGCTGAAGTAGTGCCCCTCAACCTGCATGCAGGCCTCAGAACAGGACTGTGCTGGCCAGGTCCTCACTGTATTAGTAGCTGGGATGAGCCCATATAGGGTGACAGTGGCCCTACGTCTACTGGCTGGTGTCCCTGTGAGAAAAGAGATAGGCACAGGGACAAGGCCATGAGAAGAGTGGGCAGAGGTGGGAGAGGGATGGCCACACAGGGGAACCCCTGGAGCCACAGGAGCCAGAAGAGGCAGTGGGCGCTCCCCAAGAGCCAGGAGGGGCCTGGACTGGAACTGCAGACCCCTGAAGTCGTGGCGAGCCTGTGTTTACTGCTCTAAGTGTCCGGGTCGTGGGCTCTGCTGTGGCTGCCTCGGGGACCAGCTACAACTGCAGGGGCTCTCCTGGAAGGAGGCCCTGTGACGTCTCAAAAGGATGGGATTGTCCCCAATGAGAGGCAAGAGGCAGTCACACCCAGCCAAGGGCAGAAAGGAGACAGCCTGCCTCTCAGCTCCCCACTGCACCCATGGAGCTGGCGACAGCCTGGGGCCCAGGTACCTGGGAGCACCCAGAGCTGGCTCAGGGGACCCACGAGGGTGCACAGCCCAGGGGGCTCCTCAGGAAGGCTCAGCCCAGAGGGGGCAGCTGCAGGGGGAGGGGTAGAGGGCTGCCCCTGGAGAAGGGAGAGACTCAGAAGATCAGAAAACTTACTCCAAGAGCCGCTGGTGGTTGAGCTGGTGGGAGGGGGGCAGCCTGCAGGAGCTGAACGTGACGACGCGTCTTCCAAAGAGGTCGACCCCTGCGGAGCAGACCCCACATCAGACTCTGTGCCACCTTCTTTTGGGAGATACCCAGGCACTTAAAAACAGCTGTGGCCTAGTGGTTAGGGGAGGCTGGATCCTGCAAGGCTGACAGGTTTGAGTCCTGGCCCCAGAGGCTTGAAAAATAATCTGGGCACACACACAGGTGTGCCCCAAATCCTGACGAGGTAGAAATGGAGGGTGGGGACGGGTAGAAATGGAGGGTGGGCCATGCCCGTGCCCACTGTGAGTGCTTCCTCCTCTCCTCTTCTTTTTCTCTGGAGGTGGAGCATGCTCTTCTGACAAATCAAAAAAAGGAGCCTCTTCCACTGGCCCAGCCTGAGCGAGGAGGCGCAGGTGGCTGGCGCTCACGCCCCTGATGCTGCTGTCCAGATTGCTTCTGGAAATAGTCTCTGGGGTTAAGTCACCAGTGCAAGGCCGCGCGCTGGCTGACGGCACCTAGGGTTTAACCCTAGCACGCCCGACTTCTAGGTCAGTGTCTGCCTGGCTTTAGAGCGAGTGTCTGGCCAGTCTGGCCTCTGCCTCCTCCCACGAAATTAAAGCACACCCCGAATGTCCCCCAGGACGACCTGGCCACGGGCGGCCTCATCACAGTGGCTCTCAGACCTGACCTTGCCAGGGCCCAGGGGTCCCAGCCGCCCCAGGGCTCAGTCTTGCCCTCCATCAGCACCCAGGCCACCCTGTGCCGACTCCACAGGACAGCCAAGGGCCGGGACGGGTCCAATCGTGTTTCCCTCAAGCCCTGACACCGGGCCAGGCACTCCTCTTTCTGGAGGAAGGGCAGGTGCTGAGGCCCCTCTCTGCTGGAATCCTCTCACCTCATGACCAGAGGACCGGCCAGGAGCCCCCATGTCTCAGATCTCGTCCCCTCCCTGCCCTGGGCCTGAGAGGGTCCCCAGCACATCGGGCGCCGTCTGGAAGTTGGGGCAGGGTCTGGAGCCTCCGCCCACCCTCTGCACTTCCTACTTCCCTCCTCTTCCTCACAGAAGTGGCAAGGCCCACATGCGTGCTCTCCAGGATGGTGCCACTCGCCACACGTGGCACTTACGTGTCAGTAAGCTCAAATGAGACATTAAAAAGTCAGGACCTCGGGGCCGGCAGGTGGCGTGGTGGTTGAGAGTGCTGGACTCCCACATGGCCGACCACAGTTCGAGTCCTGCTTTCTCACTTTCTCTCTCTCTCACGCTGTTCATCTCTGGTCAAATTAAAAATAAATAAGTACATAAATACAATTTAATAAAATAATTCTTTTAAAAAAAAAGTCAGCCCCTCAGGGCCCGAGCCACATTTTGGGCGTTCCACAGGCAGTGGAGGGAGGCAGCTGGGCTGGACAGCAGGGGTGCTGGCTGGGGCTGGGTGTGGCCGGCTCAGCTGCCTCGGACTCGGGGATGGGCTGAGCAGGGTCCCCTGCCCCTGGCCTCATGTGTGTCACCTGCAACCTCAGAATGCGGCCTTCCTGGAAAACAGGGTCACTGGAGGTCTGGTCAGCTGAAGACCAGGGAGAGCCATTCTGGGTCTAAGGCTGACGTCCGTACATGAGTCAGAAGAGGGACCAGAGACAGACACGCGAGGGAGGATGGCCGTGTGACCGCGGGGGGCGAGCCAGTGGTGCAGCCACACGCCCAGGAACACCGGGGACCTGGCACCCCGGCAGCTGGAGAGGACCTGGGGGCTGCTCCCTCAGGCCTCCTGCCAACCCCGGAAAGGCCGTGGCCTCCAGAGCTGTGAGTGTCGCTCCACGGCTACTGGCTTGGGGTCTTTGTCACAGCAGCCCCAGGAGATCGTCCCCAGCCACCTGGCACCCCGTGGTGCTGCCACACGCCCAGGAACACCGGGGACCTGGCACCCCGGCAGCTGGAGAGGACCTGGGGGCTGCTCCCTCAGGCCTCCTGCCAACCCCGGAAAGGCCGTGGCCTCCAGAGCTGTGAGTGTCGCTCCACGGCTACTGGCTTGGGGTCTTTGTCACAGCAGCCCCAGGAGATCGTCCCCAGCCACCTGGCACCCCGTGGTGCTGCACAGGGCAGGGGTGAGACCCCAGTCGGACACCAGGCACCTGCTCAACCTGCATGCTTCCCAGGCTCAGAGTCTGGGGTGCCGCTGTGGGCCACCGTCAGTGCTCCCCCGTCCTTGAGAGAGTCCAGCTGCTCACTCAGCAGGGCACTGACATGGAGGGACACGGGCAGGGCAACGGCATGGAGGGAGACGGGCAGGGCACAGACACGGAGGGACACGGGCAGGGCACGGACACGGAGGGACACGGGCAGGGCACGGACACGGAGGGAGGTGGGTAGGGCACCGACGTGGAACAGGGCAGAAGGAGAAGTGTGTAGAGTCCAGAGCGGGCTCCTGGAACTTCCCTCAGTCAGTGACGCAGAGGCAGACAAAAATATTCATGGGATGTAGGTAATCCGAACAACAGCTAAATTATAACCAGCTGAACCTAACCGAAATACAGAGAACGGCCACCGACCAGGCGGTACGCGCTCTTTTCTAGGGCGTGAGCACGTGCCTGGAGAGCACGCAGAAAAGCGCTGTGCGCCCTCCTGAGCAGCGTGCCCCGCACGCCCACCGTGCGCCCTCCTGAGCAGCGCGCCCCGCACGCCCACCGCGCCTGCCTGAGCAGCGTGCCCCGCACACCACCATGGCTGCGTATCTACTCCTCACCCCGCCTCAGCCGAGGACTTACTGTGTGCCCACCTCAACTGAGCATCCGCTGGGCGCAAACCTGGTTTCCGAACCCATTAACACTCCGGAGCTTATTAAGGACATGCATATATGTGCCCCAAATCCCAGGAGGAGAAGGGATCGCAGTGTGGGCACCTCCTCTGAGGGGTGAGCTCTTACTTTCCCTCTCACTGTCTCTCTGCTTCTCTGCCCTCCAGAGAGTGCACATGCCCTATGACAAAAACCTTAAAAACGATTATTATTCATGTTTCGGAGGTCTTCAGCGTTTGAGAACGGTGCCCCTTACATCCATCACCCGACACAATCGCAGTCTCCTTGGAGGTGAGAGTTAGTGTTGGGGAGCTCGGCAGGGACCGGAGGGCAGCCTCAGAGCCACGGCCCACGGGAGAGGCCCACGCTTGTCCTCAGACCTCACTGGGGAGCTCGGCAGGGACCGGAGGGCAGCCTCAGAGCCACGGCCCATGGGAGAGGCCCACGCTTGTCATCAGACCTCTATTAAATCAAAGCACTATATTGACCTCGGCCAGCAGCTGGGTGTGGGGTTACTTCCAAGTTCTGCCGATGTCTGTTGCTTTGGGGGAGATCTAACCTAACAGTGACCTTAACTAGCAAGGGAGTCACTTCATTTTGGCCTCTGCTCTTCTGAGAGTGGCAGGGGCCTTCCCCGGGGCGTCTGTGATGATGTGTCACCTGTCTCCGATGCTGGCAGGCACTCCTGTACCAGCCACAGCCCGGCTGGAGTGAGCGGAGTGAGGCAGCCCCGAGGAGCCCACCCCCACCCATGGGGCCCAGGCAAGGCAGGTGCAGCCCAGGTCCCGGGACCTACCTGCCACCTGCAGGATGCCGTGTCTGGCCACGTCATAGAACGGGTGACTCGTGGTCAGTGCAGGGTCCTGGCCGGTCACGTGCACCACCGAGGGTCTTTTCACTCTGCCCAGTGCTGCTGCCTCTTCCTCGTCTCTCTGCAGCTCTGGGACAGACGAGGAGGGTCAGAGGAGCTGGGAGTGCTCTCAGGTAAGGAGGGGAACCAGGGAGTCTCCTCGAGTCCTTTCATGAAACAGTCACTCTACCTGTGCTGCACACCCACTATGCGCCCACCTTAGCAGTGCACCCACTATACACCAGACCATGGTTGAGTATCCACTCCACACCCTGCTTCAGCTGAGTACTTACTAAGTGCCCACCTCAATGGAGCACCCAGTGGGCACTCCCTATGCACCCCTCAGCTGTGCACCCACTACATACCCACCTCAGATGTGTACTCACTACATGCCCCACCTCAGCCAAGCACCCACTACATGCCCCACCTCGGCTGAGCACCCACTACGTGTCCCACCTCAGCTGAGCACCCACTATGTGCCCCACCTCGGCTGAGCACCCACTACGTGCCCCACCTCAGCTAAGCACCCACTACACACCCACCTCAGATGTGTACTCACTATGTGCCCGACTTCAGTCGAGCACCTACTACGTGCCCCACCTCAGCTAAGCACCCATCTCAGCCGAGCACCCACTACATCTCAGATGCCCACCTCAGAGGTGCACTCACTATGGGCTCCATCTCCGCTGAGTACCCACTACATGCCCCACTTCAGCTAAGCACCCACTACACACCCACCTCGGAGGTGCACTATGTGCCTCACCTTAGCTGAATATCCACCACGTACCCCATGTTAGCTGAGTACCCACCACATGCCCCACCTCAGCTGAGCACCCACTACGTGCTCTCCTCAGCTGAGCACCCACTACGTGCTCTCCTCAGCTGAGCACCCACTACTTGCTCTCCTCAGCTTAGCACCCACTATGTGCTCTCCTCAGTTGAGCACGCACTATGTATCCTACTTTGGTTAAGCACTCATCACAGCTGAGCACCCACTACGTGCCGCACCACAGTTGAGCACCCACTATGTGCTCCTCAGCTGAGCACCCACTACATGCCCTACCTCAGTTGAGCACCCACCTTGGCTGAGCTTGCACTACATGCCCTACCTCGACTGAGTACCCACTATGTGCTCTACCACAGCTGGGCACCCACTATGTATCCACCCAGGGTGCAGCTCGGAGAAGGGAGAAGAAAGACCCGAGTGCTAGAGTGAGTCCCCATTGCTGGGAGTGGAAATGAAGGCTCAGGTGGGAGATGGGCTGCCCAGCTCACGCTGCTCACTGGGAGTCGGCTGTGGACTTCCTCGTGAGACACAGCTCCCAGTTCTGACCCTGGTCCTCCTTGAGAGGTGCTGACAGAGGCAGGTGCTGCCGAAAGCCCAGGGTGGTCAGAACGAGGGCAGAAACGGGGTCTCTGGGGTGTGAGGTAGGAAGAAAGGGCCGGCCTCCAGTTTCATTTCAGACAGGGACGATGGCCCACCCAGACCAAGCCAGTGCTCAGAGGACTGCTTTCCGGTGGGACCAGAGGGGAGCTTCAAGCATCTGAGAAAATGCCATGTCCCAGACACCCCTACTCAGCGGACACTAAATCATGTATTGCTCATGTTTCCAAGGTCTTCAACTGCTTGGGAACTGTCTATCGGTTAGAGGGCTGAACAGGGTCCCTCCAAAACTCACACCTCCCAGGACCTCAGGACGTGGCCTTCCCTGGAGAGGGTCTCAGAGACATAGTTAGTTGAGGTGAGGCCACACTGGCTGACAGCGGGCCCCGAAGTGATGAGACACAGGGGAAGGCTATGTGAGGGTGGAGTGACAAACACCTGGGCCACTGGGAGTGCGAGGAGGTGGGCGGGATCCCCCACAGACTTCAGGGAAGCATGGCCAGACTCACACCTTGATTTAGACTCAGGCCTCCAGATTGGGAGAAAGGAACAGGAACTTCCTGTTATTTCATTTTTGCTCTAGGGTGTGTGCACTTGTAAGAGATAGAGACAGAGAGAGAGAGAAAAGAAGAGGAAAGTGAAAAATCACCCCTTGTGGGGATAGCCATGCCACAGTTCCTTACCCATTCCTCTCTGGATTTTGGGCATATGTGCCTGTGTTTTTCAAACTGCCAGGTCTGGGACTTGAACCACACAGTCGGCCATGTGAGATCCAGCCACCTTAAACTTCATGCCACCTGTTGGCCCATTTCCTGTTATTTTAAGCCTCTCTTTGTGGCCACTTGTTACAGCAGCCCCAGGAGACGGACACGGCCATGGTCAGTCCACTGGCCGAATCAGTGCCGGGCACAGGGCGGAGGGGGTTCCCGGGAGGAAGCGCTGGCTTTCCTAGCAAATTCTGGAGGTGACTCAGGCTGATCTTCCGATTGGGCTTTCCCAGGATCCCCCTGGCTACAGAGGAGCTCAGGCTATAGGGACTCTGTTCTTCCTTGACAAGTCCTGGTGTGCGCCAGGGCTGGCGTCGTGGCCGGACAGCAGTGTACACCACGAATGTCCACCAGCGGGTGACTGGCTAAGCAAAATGGCACAACCGGACTAGACGGTGACTCAGCCATGAAAGGACTGACGCCCAGGCCCACGCTACCACACCTGGCGAGATACAGCGCTCAGAGAAAGAAGCCAGGCACGGGCACACATGTGAGACTACGCAGAATGTCGGGATGGGCGAGTCCAGACAGAGCACAGGTGGTTGCTGGGGGTCTCCCACTGGGGTCTCCCTCTGGGGTCTCCCTCTGAGGTCTCCCGCTGGGGTCTCCCACTAGGGTCTCCCTCTGGGGTCTCCCTCTGAGGTCTCCCTCTGGGGTCTCCCACTGGGGTCTCCCTCTGGGGTCTCTCTCTGAGGCCTCCCTCTGGGGTCTCCCACTGGGGTCTCCCTCTGGGGTCTCCCTCTGAGCTCTCACACTGGGGTCTCCCTCTGGGGTCTCCCACTGGGGTCTCCCACTGGGGTCTCCCTCTGGGGTCTCCCGCTGGGGTCTCCCTCTGGGGTCTCCCACTAGGGTCTCCCTCTGAGGTCTCCCTCTGGGGTCTCCCTCTGGGGCAATGAAAACACTCTGCACTCGACATCACAGTGGACTGACTGCCACTGGGCTGCGTGCTGCTCCGTAGTTAAGTTAACGTGTGTCTTTCACCACAATAACAAACAGAGAAAAGAAAGAAAAGAAGGGCAGGCTCTATGGGCTGGTGGTTAACCGGAGCTGGCTCCCACATGGCCAGCCACGGTTCAAATCCTGGCCCCAGTGGCTTCAAAAGCACCTCGGGTATATGTGTGTGCCCCAGATCTCGACAAGATGGAGAAATGGAGGACTGCAGGGTAACCACAGCCGTGAGGGGCGCTCTCTCCCTGGCCTGTCTCCGGTGAGCACACATGCCCTCTAGCAATTAAAACAAAACACAAGGATAAACCACCCTTGCCATCACGCTGCGCATCCACCCAGGTGAGACATGGTCACTGTCACCGCTCGCCTCCCAAAGAGACAAGAGTAAACCAGAAGGCAAAATTAGGAGTTCTTAGAAGCAAATCCGGCGGCACGAAAGCACCCAGGCCTTCTGCCTCGGGGCCTGTGCCGCTGATGCCGGCTGTGGAACGGAGCCATCTCTCTCAGGCTTGCTTTCTTCAGGAGTTTCCAAGCTCACCTCTGGTTGTTTTGTACCCTCCAGAGAAGTCTGCACTTGAGGGAAATGGATCGAGATGGATAAAGTAGTTCTATCCCATCCCTGCTCCAAAAGTGATAGCAGCAGCCCCTTCTCGCTCGCAGGTAGCATAGTGGTTAAGGCGCTGGATTCCACATCGCCAACCACAGTTCGAGTCCCAAGGCCAGCTGCCTGAAAGACACATGCATGTGTGTGCATGCTCGAAATCCCAAGAGAAGGACGGAGAAGGGAGTGTGGGCTGGTCATCCTCCTGGGGGGGGGGGTATTTCTCACTTTCCCTCTGTCTCTCTCTGGCAAGCACAGTGCTCTAAGGCAAAAATGTAATAAACAAACAAACAAACAAACATGTGTACAAGATCTTAGCCAAAAGGCCAAGAAGGGACTTCACGGAAAGGCGGTTCCATGCCCTGGAGGTGCAGAGGGCTTGGCCCATCGCCCGTGCCCCTGGGCATGCAGAGGTAAAATGCCCACGGGAACCCGCACCTCACAGGGCTCTGAGTGCCCCTGATCTGAATCTGCACAGGGAACCATGGAAAGACAAATATCACTAGGCTGGTGGCCGGGGGAGGCACGAAGGGACACTTCTCGCTGAGCATGTTCTGTGGGGTTAGATGTTTTGAGCCATGTGAACAGAGAGCTTGCCAAAAATAAACGCACACCCTGCCTGCCTTCTCCCAGACCAGGCTGGGGGCGTGGAGGGGGGGTGGGGGCGTTACCGATCTCGGCCAGCTCCTCCAGGGCCAATGCGGACGTGCTCTCCTGGTGGGCAGGCAGCCGGGCAGCCATTCTGATGCCACCTCCTCAGGATCCTGGTGTGGGCTCCCTGAGGGCAAAGCACAGAGCCCAGGTCACACTTCACACCCATGAGATGAGAGAAACACATAGTGTCCTCTAACAGACCTTCTTGCTGTTTCTGCTCCCTCAAAGGAAGAAAAAGCACCCCCGTCTGACTCTCAGAGACCTCAGGTCCCTTTAAGGCGTCCCCCTCTGCTTGTCCTGCCAGCCCGCTCCCGATACGAGGGAGAATTCTCCCTTAAATGGAGGGTGACGTCCACCCCGTCTGGGCACCCCCACTGGGCGGGCCTCAATTGCCACCCCACCTGGGGCCCTGCCCACCGACTGGCAAGCCTGGACCGGGCTCCCTCTCACAGTGGCCCTGCGGCCAGCGAGGACAGATTGGGGAGGCAGGACACCCAGCATGGGACCAGCACAGCCAGGGAGAAGCCCTTTGAGGACACCATCGTTCCGCTTTATCACCCTCAGACATGCCACTCGCTCCTGGACCCCTTCCACAGAGGAGGAAGCCGAGGCCACCTAAATCGGAGCCGCTCACTCCACACAACAGGAATCGAGGGGCGGCTAGGGGTGCCGGAGCGCGTTCTGAGCCTGGGATGCGGCTCGATACTGGGGAGCCCTAATGGACGTCCCGTTAGTGCCTGCTAGGGTTGGAGCCGGGGTTTGTCCCCAAAGTGTCACGGTTTGGATTTAGTCTTGGGAGGTGGTAAAGCCTAGAGGGGGGTGAATGGGTCGCGGTGGCTGTGTCATGAGGGACCCCTCTCCAGAAGAGATGAAGGGCACCTATGAGACCTACAGGGCGCCAGCTCCGTGGGAAGGGGCTGCTGCAAAGTAGGGATCTGCCCACAGCTCGCTCGCCCTCTGCCCGGGCCCACCCTCCTCTGGGCTCCCGTCAGACATGTAGGCCGACCCAGGCCTGTACCCTTAGACTTGCCAGCCACCAGGATTGTGCACCGGACCAGCGAGGGCATAGTGGCCAAGGCGCTGGACTCCCACATGAACCATGGTTTGAGTCCTGGACCCAGTGGCTTAAAAATCACGCCGGGTGTATGTGTGTGCCCAAAATCCTGAGTGGAAAATGAAGGAGGAGTGATGGCAGCTTCCTTTCCCTCTGCCTCTCTCTGGTGAGTGCACACACCCTAGATCAAAAACAAAAAACCCTGTGAGTCAACAACCCGCTATGTCTTTATACGCCATGTGGTCTCGGCATTTCTGCTGGCAGCACAATAACAGACTACAACAGCAGCCCCACGATGGTGTCACCCGACCCTAGAAGGAACACCCTCCCTGCCACACCATGGACAACGTGGAGGGCATTACGTGGGTGAGGAAAAGCCAGACTTTATGAAGGACGCAGCTCAGGTGAGCTCAGTGAGACAGAAAGCAGGTGAGTGGGTACCAGGGCTGGGGAGCATGGGTGGCAGGGAGGAAGGACGCTAACCCCTCCGGGACAGAGGGCAGGGGACGCCGCCCCACCGCTGGGCATCAGACACGACTTCCTGCCTCTGCTGGGCCAGACTGGACAATGCCCACGCACACGCTATGCCCCACGGTCCCACGGCGAGAGAGCTTTCAGCCACAGAGCGATGGGTGCCACCTTGGCCACCAGCATCCCGTACCCCTGTCAGTAACACACCCACTTCCCGTTTCTCTCACATATGCACACGCACACACACGCGTGAGCACACACACACAGCAGACCATGTAAAGGCACCAGGAGTTGACCTGAGCTGGTCCAGTTATAATGAATTCCAAAACTTCTATAAAAGTTATCTGAAAAGATACTTTTAAAAAAATTATTTTGCTTAAAGCTGGGAGGCCTGAGGCCTAGAACTACCAAAGGTCTCCAAGTGGAACTTGAGAAAAAGGAAGCCAATGCAGAAGAGATGAAGGATGGAGAAAAGCCTGAGTCCTCATACCCCAGGTGCTGGACCCAGCTGTCCCTGAGTGTGAAGACCCAGTGAATCCCTTTCTGCTGAGGCCAGCTCCGACTGTAGACGACCTGCCACTTCTAACAAAACGAGTTGCTTTTCTTTGAAACATATTTAGTGAATCTCCTCCACATTCTCTGAGAGTAAGATCAATGCACTATTTCTTTTCTTTGTACAAATAAATGGACTTCATTTCTGAAAGTTCTTGGGGGGCGATTTGGCTTAGCATCAGATCTGACTCGCACGGCTGACTTTGCCACTAGCCCCGCCTACAGCCCGGGCTCTGGGCCTCACTCTCCCACTCTCTGGGACAGTGGACCATCAAGGCCAACTTGGCGAGGCCCCTGGGATCACTGCCGTCCCCTTGATCCTGCCTCTCTGTTCCAGGAAGATAACACAATCTCGTAACAAACCTGCTTCTCCATTTTACCTCGATAACATTCTCCCAGACCTCCCTCTGCTCCGTGTTCCTTTCTAAATGGTAAAAGGACACGACGACATTACAGGAATTCTTTTCGGGGAGGAGGCCTCTGCCATAACTCTGCTCAGTTTTCATTTTGGCATAGCCCCTTCAGTGCTTGTTTGCAGGCACCATATTTAATAGAATCATAATTGGATTTCACATATATCTTATAATCGACTTTGTTGGCTCACAGCCCATCCACCCAGAGCCCGGAGTACTCAGCCCAACGCCCAGGCCACCAGGAGCACGCTCATCTCTGGCAGGTGGGAGTCAGTGTTCCTGGCTGCAATGAGAGGGGCAGGTTAGGGGCCAGGAAAGGGAGTGGGGCTACCCACCTGTGTCCTGACAATACATGATGTACCCCTAGACCTGGGGAGTGGTGACTGCCCTGCCCTCCCTCCAGCCTGGAGCAGCACGAGCAGCAGAAGGGAGGAAGGCTAGAGAATCCACTGAGCCGGGCCGCCACCTCTGCACACAGCTCTGGACCCAGCCCCAGCGAGACTCCCTCTTATTCCTCAGGTCTGAGGGCGGTCATGAGTTTCTCCTCTGGGTCCTTGGCCACCTTCCTGGCTTCCCGAAATCCTGCCCACGACTCCCAGGACAGCGTGTGCTCAAGTCTCCCTCAGCAAGACCATTTCGACTGAGCCCCCTTGTCTCATCGCCCAGGGAGACAAGAGGAAGAAGAAGGGCCCGTCCAGCGACTGGCCTGCCCCCCTTGGGTGTTCTCTTCTAAACCCGTGAGCCGCCTGCACAGGCTGCAGGGGACGCTCCACAGGCCCAGGACGAACCCCGCATGGCTGGCGCACGAGTCCGCACAGTGCTCCCTCATGTAGGCACCCTCGTGTAACCCTCACTAGGCCCCACCCATTATTACCCCATTTGAAAGATGGGAAACTGAGGCCCAGTGAGCTGAAGGAAGTTAGCTGCCTGAGGTCCCACTGCTGGTCAGGAAGGGACCCTCAGCCCTCCTCCCAGCTCGCTGGCTGATGGGCAGCCCCACCCGAGCCGCATAGCCTCCCTGTGCCCAGGCTGCAGGGTGGGCTTGCGAGTTAGACACCCCCCTTGCTGAGCTGCAGTGGTTGCACGACAGGTGTATGAAGCACTTCAGCGCAGGTACACAATTTATCTCCATGTTTATTAAAAGTCTGTTTGGGGAACCAGCAGATGGTGTGATGGTTACGTCGCTGGACTCCCATATAGTTAACCACAGTTTGAGTCCCAAAGCTGGCGGCTTAAAACTCACCCAGACACATGTGCGTGCATGCCAAAAATCCTGAGAGGAGAACAGAAGAGAAGGGATTGAGGTGTGGCCATTCCCCCTGGAGGGGAGGGCAGTGATTTATCGCTTTCTGTCTCTCCAGCAAGCGCACACACCCTAATCTCTATTGAAAAAAAGTCTATCTGGGGCTGCACAGACAGGGATCCCAGATAAAAATCTGGGGTATCATAAAACGTCTAGAGTTGAGTCCAGAGCCGTGGGAGTCTGCAGATAATGGTCTCTCAACACCCCAGATCTTCAGGGAAGTCGGAAGCTCTCCTGTTCCATTGGATGGCAGCCCCGCCAGAGTGGAAATCAAGACTCGGGTTCATGAGTAAGGGGCCGCTGCCATGGAAAGAAGTTGTTAAAACAACAGGAGAGGAACCAGTAGATGGCGTAATGGTCACGTTGCGTGACTCTCACACAGGAGGCCACAGTTTGATTCCCAGACTCAGTGGCTTGAAACTCATGCTGGGTGTGTGTGCTTGTGTGCACAAGATCCTGAGACAAAAATGGAGAATAAGGGATTCTAGCATGGCCATCCCCCCTGTGGAGTAATTTCTCGCTTTCTCACTTTCTCTCTGGCAAGTTCAAGCTCCCGATAGCAAAAATCTCTCTTGAAAACAAAACAAAAAAAACAAAATAGAATGGAGGAGAAAGGATTGTGGGGTGGCCATCCCCCTGTGGAGTGATCTATCTTTGTCTCTCTGCAAGTGTATACGCCCTATAGCCAAAATCTCTCAAAACAAACAAACATGAACAAACAAAAACACACCATAAACCACTCCTCCCAAATTTTTGAGAAATAGCAATAAAAAAAGAAACAAATGTCTCTGCCATATAGTCTCTGCGACTGTAAGACACCACATTATAAAACCATTTTTGTGGTTGGTGGTGGTTGGCGGTGTGGTAACTGCTATTCAGACCACAATTGCCAGCATTGCCCAACATACTTCTAGTGATGGGGTGCACACTACCTCCCCGGGAAGCTCACTCCATCTTGGTTCATGTCTGACTGCTCAAATGTTCTTCTTTTCAACAAGATTGAAATCCACCTCTATCAACAATGTTTACCCTTAAGCTGAATCTTAACAACCTGGTGTGGAAGGAAAAGCATGGGATCTGGGGCTATAAGGTAGAATAAATGAAAGTCTCTAGAGTGGAATGAGTGTGGGCCCTTCAGCCAGACTTCCTAGAAAACCTCTGGCGACTATCTTGACCTCTCTGTGCTTCCATTTCCTAGTTTATAAAATGGGGATAATACCAGCATCTTCCTCATAGGCAGATCATAAGGATCTAGTGAGATAATACAATAAATTGCCCAGCCTGGTAACTGGCATGTGGTTGGTATGCAGTAAATGTTCACTACTATC